AAGTACTCCAAACAGTGGGCCTCTATTTCCCAAGTGCTGTCACATGAGCTTCTGGCAGCCCTGAGATGAAGACCGGGAATCACACCCAGAAGGACATGGCCCAGATGTACATAGCTCCCTCTCAAACTGCACAGACATAAGTTGTGTGTGCGCATTTGAACACAAAAGAACAAAGAGAAGAAGTTATTTCAAGAAGAGTTTATTCTATCAAATGTTGTATTTTCTATCTTTTTAAAAATCTATTATTCACTGGGATATTGAACAAGAAGTTAACAGGTGAAGTTACTTAAAGAGTATAACATGGGTAGTATTTGTTCTTTTTGCAACTTTTCGATGAATGTGAGGTTATTTCTTTAAAATTATAGTGTATTCATTGAGCCAGCTATCCCACTTCTCAACATATACCCAAAGGACTTTAAATCAGCCTACCGCAGTATCGCAGCCACATCAATGTTGACAGCAGTTCATTTCACAATAGCTAAGCTATGGCACCAACCTAGGTGCCCTTCAACAGATGAATGGATAAAGAAAATGTGGTATATATATACACAATATGGAATATTACTCAGCATTACAGAAGTATGAGTTTATGGCATCTGCTGGTAAATGGATGGAACTGGAGACTATCATGCTAAGTGAAATAAGTCAGTCCCAAAAAACCGAAGGCCCAATATTCTCTCTGATGTGTGGATGCTGACTCACAATAAGGGGGTGGGGGAGGGAAGAACAGAAGTTCATTGGATTAGACAAAGGGAGTGAGGGGAAGGGAGGAGGATGGGAACAGGAAAGACAGTGGAATGAAGGGGACAGAGCTTTCCCATGCTCATATATGAATACAAGACCAGCGAGACTCCACATCATGTCCAACTACAAGAACGGGAAGCTATCTATACTCCATGTATGCATAGTATGTCAACATCCAGTTTACTGTCGTGTGTATCTAAAAGGAATAAATGAAAATAAATAAATTAAAAATTAATAGTGTAGCCATATGATGTAATTGTTTTAAATCTAAATAAAATTGGGAATTATCTGGAGAGACCTTGATATGATGGACTCCCACAGAACAATGAGGAAGGGCGATTGCACCCAGCAACATGGATGCATTTCACAGAAAATGCAGAGGTCACAGGAAGAGTGCATGCTGTGCTTCTCATCTATTAGAAGCTTAAGAACAAGTGAAAGCTGTCCATGGGGAAAGAGGGAGAGGAGACACCAGGGAAGCTTCTAGAACACTGGAATTGTTCTAGAGCTAGACCTGGAGGAAACAGAAGGATGGAAGTGTAAGACTACACTAGAGTAAGGTATAGTCTTGTTTGTCTGCTTCATTTTATGAAAGTTACACATCAACAAAATAGTATAAAAATAAAGCCATGCTTGTGAGA